TGACCCCAGGTCTACTGTGGGCCACTACAGTGAGCAAATTGCCCCTAACCCGACCACAGACTCCCAAGGCCTGTGATAGAACCCCAGGCCACCTGCCTGGCTCCATGGCTCCTGGTCATCACTGGGCACTCAAGAGTCAGGGAGACCCCAGCCTGTTAGACTCCACAGGCAGTCTAACGCCCACCCTTCCCCATATAGCCGTCCCTGGGCAGGAGAAGAATCAAACATGGGGTACCATTTCTGGTGTGTGCTGCCCACAGGAACTGGTGACTGGCCATATACTTAGTGAACTGGGGGCCCGTTTGCCACAGGGTTCAGACAATGACCTGGCCAGAAAATTCTCCCAGAGCTCCACAGACTGCAGCCTCAATGTGAGCAATTCCAAGAGTTCTTTGAGCAGCCGCAGCTCACTCAGCCTTTCCACCATGTCTGTGGACAGTCTGACTGCTGTCGACCTGGTAGGGGAACAGTCCTGGAAGACCAGCTTGGATGAGGACTTCCTCTCTGGGGAGGCCATGGGGAGGTCCCAGAGATCTGAGGACCTGGAAGAGATGGAGAGAGTGAGCCATGGGCGCATGACCCCAAACCTCTGCCACCTGCCTCCCCCAGCCTCAAAATTGATCCCCATTCTGCACCTCAGTTCAGTGCCCAGCCACATGACCTTGAGTGTCCACTGGAGCTCAGGTGATCAGGATGAGAAGGATATGTCCTCAAACCAAAGATCCATGGGTCTGAAGGAGAGCCGGTTCCAAAAACCCGATAGGACAAAACTGAAGAGAAGCCTGTCTTTGGATAATGTGGTCATTCCCTTATATCAGCAGCCATCTGTGACCAGTAGGCGGACCCCAAGCCCATCCCAGTCATCAGTAGCCAGTAAGGTGGTCCCAAACCCAGGCCAGCTTTCTATAGCCAGCCTATCTGAGCCTTCTATGGTCTGTAAGGTGACCCTCAGCCTTGGCCGGCCATCTAAGGCCTGTGGGGCGAGCCCCAGCCTAGCTCAGCCATCTATGACCATTGGGGTGGCCCCTGGCCTAGCTCAGCTATCTATGACCAGTGCAGTGGCCCCCAGACTAGCTCAGCCATCTATAACCAGTGGGGTGACCCCTCGGACAGCCCATGCAACTATGGGTAATAGTGTGGGTCCCAGCCCAGGTCATCCACCTGTGATGAGTGGTGTGGGCCATGTACTTAGTCAGCCAATTTGGGCCCCTGGGGTGAGTTCCGATCTACTGTCATCGAAGGTGAGTGCTGTGGCCCCTTGTCCGTGTCATCCATCCTTTCTGACTGAAGTCACCTCAAATACACCACATTCATTTGGGGCTAGCGGCATAGGCCTGGGGCTGAGTCAGCCATCTGTGGCCACTGGGGTGGACCGACATCAAGATCCTATGATTGGTTGTGGGGTGGCCTCAAACCTCCAGGCCCCTGAGTTCAAAGAGGTGTCCCCTGGGTTTCATCCCCCACTCAGTGTTGGTGGAAGGTGCCCAAGCACAACAGAACGTTCTGAACATTCTGCTGTCACTGTTTCCACCTCGAACCTCTACCAGTCATCTGTGACCATCGGAAAGGACTCTTGTCTAGGCCAGGGAACCAGGCTATCTCAGGGGATTCTGTTTGGAAGCATGGCTACAAGAACATCCCAGGGCACCGTGGCAGCTAGCATGCTCCCAAATGTGTCTTGGGGGACCCTAGCTGCTAACAAGTTCCTAAGTATGTCTCGGGGACCTATGTGTCCTGGCGTGACAAGGAGTATGTGCCGGAGAAGTGTGGCAACTGCTATGGGCCCAAGGCAATCTCAGGTCGGCAGTAGCACAGCTCCCACGTCATCCTGGGCCTCTGTGACAGGTTCCCCTTTTCATGGACAAGCCACAGGGGTGGGCCCTGGCTTCTCTCCAGCTTTAGTGCCCATTGGACTGGGTCTGAGTTCATCCAAGTTTTCCCTGACCAATGTGGGCCCCAGCATATCTCAGGTCAATGTTGATCTCCCAATAGCTATGGACCACCAGTGTCCTCCTGTATCCATTGTTACCACACCCAGTGACCAACAATCAAATGCTTTCAGCCAGGAGCCTGTGATGGGCATGGCCAGTCTTCTGGTGCCGGGTTCTGTGGCCAACAGGATGACCACAGCCGTGGCCCCAGTTACTGTGGCCAGTGGCATGGCCCCCAGCCCTCCCCCAGGGTCCATGACCAGGGATGTGGTCCCCAGGCTTCCACTAGGTTATATGGTCAGTTGTGTGGCTCAGACCCTTCCCCCAGGGTCTGTGATCAATGGCATGGGCCAGGGCCTTCCCCCAAGATCTGTGAACAATGGCATGGGCCAGGCCCTTCCTCCATATCCCATGGCCAGTGCTGAGGCTCACAGCCTTCCTTCAGGTTCTGTGGTCAGTGGTGTAGCCCAGAGCTTTCCTCCAGGTTTTGTGACCAGTGGCATGGCCAAGACCCTGTCTCCAGGTTCTGTGGTGAGTGGAATGCCTCCCAGACTGATTGTAGCACATGGTGCTGTTGGGAACAGGCGAAGTCCCTCCGTAAGACCCCCCACTAACCGGACCTCTCCAAGCCTGCTCTTAGGTTCAGTGGCAAGTGGGGTGGGCCCAAGTGTGTCTTCTGGTTCTGTGGCCTCTAGTGTGGTCCCAGCATTTATGGCTAAGGGACCGAACCAGAGTCTGTTTCTGGGGTCCACGGCTACTGCAGCTGGTCCACCCTCCACAGTTGGGAGCGTTGCCCACAGCCCTCCCCAGGGGTCCATGCTTGTTGGACTCACCCCTCGTCCTTACCACAGAGTCATGGCTCGGGAGGAATCTATAGTCCCCCTCCAGGCATCCCATGCCACTGGCCTGGCTGAAGTTCATCCCCAGGCCTTAGAAGCTAGTGGCAGAGCCAGAGGAGTGGACCAAGTGCCCATGATTCTTCAAAGAGCCTCACAATTGAGCAGCACTCTTGGGGCAATGGCATTTGAGACCAGAGATGGCCAGGCCATAATGAAACCGGAGGACCTCAATGAGATTCTGTCCCAGGGGTCCAGATCCAGTAGGGAGTCCATAGTCCTTGAGGCAACCCCATTGATGTCTGAGAGTCCCCTAGTACCTGATGTCGACTACGGTCGCAAATTCCTGGCAGAGGACAGGAGTGTTCCCAAAGGCCAAAGGCTGCCGTTGGAGAAGGCAGCTCCCAGCCAGGCCAAGTGTCTGACCAGTGGCATGGCCCCCGTCCTTCCCCCATCCCCAACTTTTGCCAAGCATGCTAAGGCCAGCAGTGTCACCCCAATTCTGCAGCAGAGGTCAGCAACCAATTGGAGGGACCCCAGTTCCCACTCTATGGCTGCTCGTGAGGTCCCCAGTGTGCAGACAGAGTCTGTCAAGAGTACAGGGGCCTCCTTGGCTCATCAGGCATCAGTGGCTCACATTATGCCCTGGAACCCCTCAGCTGCTTGTGTCCCCCAGGGCCCCTCAGCCTCTCACATGCCCCGGAGCCATTCCCATGAGATGGTGGCTTGTACTGTAATCTCAGGGTCGCACAAGCTGGCCCCTGGCAGTTCTGTGGCACCCAGTTTGCACCTGGGGTCTGTGTCTGGGATGGGGACCCCAAGCACTTCCCAGAGGTCAGGGGTTACCAGTGTGGCCTCACATGTGCTGCCGTATCCATCCAAGGCCAGCAGGGCAGCGTTAGGTGGGCTCCAGGTGGAAGCTGTCCCCAGTGTAGTTTGGAAGCCAGTGTCTGGGAACCTGTCTCAGAGCAGCCACCACCAGTCCCTTGGCCCTAGAAAGTCCTACAGATCCAAGCACAGTAGCTTTGTCTCCAGAATACTAGATGGTTCTGTAGCGAAGATTAAGCCCTCCCAGCAGGTCGGGGAGCATGCCTCCAGGTCCACACAGGGAGGTCCCAAAGGTGCCGTGGGTGTACCACCGGCCATAAAGCCAATTACCCGAACTGGCGATTTCGCGCATGACATGACCATCCCTAGGCTGCACCATGGGGTTCAAAGGGTGTGTCTGGGTTATGAATCTTCACCAAGTGGTTCCCAGAAGCCCCTTTTTAACTGGGAGTTGCTACAGGGACCTCAGGATTTCCATAGCGCCGTCACTCCTGTGGATAGTCACAGGGCACCCCTGACTCCCACTGTACTACAGGGCCCTGGGAACACTGGCGTGGCTGGTGGACAAACACGGAATGCTGCTGTCCCCAGTGTTGTGATCAGCTCCATGAACAGGGCTGTGGCCCCCGGTGGTGTATGGGAACCAGCCAGGTGTGCTGTGCCATGGGATGCTGTGGGCAGTGAGGCGGCGGTGGATCCCAGACGGTCAGGGAAGCTGGTAGCGTCGGTGCAGGCTGTGGAAAAGATAATCGTGCAAGCTGTAGTCACTATCCAAGCGTGTGCACGTAGCTATCTGGTGCGCCGTACCATCAAGTTGTGGCACCGGTGGGCCATCATCATCCAGGCTGCCTGGCGTGGCTATCGTGTACGGCGGAACCTCACCCAGCTCTGCAGAGCTGCCACCATCATCCAAGCCATGTGGCGAGGCTACTACATCCGAAGGAGCTGCGCCCAGCAAACGCTGCTCTGGGGCACATGGGCTGAGGTGGGCAGCAGGGCCAAGTCGACCTCCAAGCACCGCTGCTTCCAGTCCTGCCAGCCACATGTCTGTGCCTTCTGCCAGTCATTGAGTACTGGGCTGGGGAATTTCCCCACTGTGGTGATGCTCGTGGCCTCCAGCCCCCGCACATGCCACATATGTGGTCATACCCTGCCCACACAGGTGGTGCAGGGCATAGGCCAGGGCACCACGGGCCAGGCAGGCAAGCCAAGGGGCTATGACACCCAGCTGACCCACCGGAGTACTCAGAAGCTACATTGCCAGGACAAGGCCGCTGCAGTCATCCAGTCTGCCTGGAGGGGCTTTGTTGTACGTCGCCAGCTGAGGCAGCAGCAGGCAGCAGCCAAGAAGCTTCAAGCCACCTGGCGTGGCCACTACACCCGGTCCTCCCTCACTACAGATGCGCTCTTAGGGCCAGCGGTGTGGGAAAACCCACAGAACATGCAGTGGTCAGGAGTCTAGGACTTTGGCTGCCCGGTGCGGGGACACCAGGGGAAGTGCCATGTGGCTCTCTAGGTCTAATGAATAAAGCCTTCCACAGCCTAGGTCTTGGTCTACCTGTGCTCATGGGGGCAACTTGGGCATGTGGGAGGGGGAATGGGGGAACCTGGACCATCCTGGATGGGGGGGGTCCTAAAGCTTCCAACCACACAGTTGGCACCTAGGGTCTGTGTCTGGGATGGGGACCCAAGTCCTTCCAGGAGGCCAGGGGCCTCCAGTGTGGCCTCACACATGCCTCTGTATTTGTCCATGACTAGTGGGGCGGTATCCAGTTGGTTCCAGATGGAAGGCATCCCCAGCACACTCCAGAAGCCAGTGTCTGGGAACCTGGCCCAGAATGGTCACCACAAGTCCCTCAGCTATAGAAAACCCTACGGATGCATGCATGGTGCCTTGTCCAGGAAATGCTAGGGATTCCAGTCATGTACTAATTTGGGGGGGGGGATGCTGGGCCCCACACCCAAGGGTGAGAGAGCCAGATACAGATGTTCCCAGCCCGCGAAGACAGGGAATGGGAGGAGAGGCTGAAAGCTCCCAGAGCGGGCAGCCTGGCTGGAAGAAGGGCAAAGGAGGTGGCGGCATGGTTTTGGGCGGTTATGGATGGGGCCACAGATTGGTGGTGGCTGCAGTGGGGAGGGTAACTGGAAGGGGCAGGAGCGTCCTGAAGGGAATTTGAGGGCTCCCGGGTCATGATCCAGATGGAATTTTAGGGGAGAAGGTGTCCAGGCGGAGATGGGGGCAGGAATGGCATCCATGGGAAACGGTAGCGCCTTCCCCCCCCCCGCCCCGACACCCGGTATCCTGAGGGCCCTGCCTCCACCTCTCCCCTGCGCATCTCTCGCGCCGCCACCAGGGGGCGCGCGCAAAGTGTAAAGAGCAGGTATCTGGCTACGCACTTGGCCACACACCTGGGCAGAACCCGTCCTCCCTGCGCAGGAATGGCGGGCTTCCAGCTGCTAGCTCTGGTGCTATTGCTGAGACCTGATGGGTATTTCTCTGCTTCCTCTGACGCCACTATAGGTAAGAACAGGTGAGGAGGACAGGCTTCTAGAAAGCTGAAGGGGGGTCATACTTCCCAGCCACACATCTGATGTCTAGTCCCCTCAAGTCATGCTAGTCTGCCAGCCCCCACCTCCCGGCTGTTCTCTCCCCCAGAAGCAAGGTTGGGGGATCGTGAGAACAGCTGGAGCACCCCCTCCCCTCCACCCCTCACCCCAGTACTGAAGCTGCTACTTCTGTAACCCCAGGATGACCTCAGCCAGGGAGAGGCTATGACTGCCTCATACCCAGTTCAAGGTTCCATTTCAATCCTGTTTCTGTTTGCCAGCTCCCAAGGGAAGGAGGACCCCAGGACCATGGGAGGAGGAACAGGGATTCACTTCCTGGTCACTAAACATCCATGGCTCCCAGAAGTTCGTGGCGCCTGACTAATTTTTTCTGTTGCTCTGTAAGATGGTTCCCAGGGTGAAGAATTGAACTACTTTTTTCTAAAATTTATTTTATAGTTGACATACAATAT